TATCCCCTGTGTGCCTTGTCGACTCAGTTTAGAAATTTTTAATCGGCACTAGGGGTTGTTTATCGGCCGTAAGGGTGCCTTCCGAAACATCAATCCGATTGGCTTTTTTTCACAATCTCTCGGCATTAATATGTTGTCGTGTGCCAAAGCGCAAATGTTACAAATCATTTTTGGCGCTGTTAGAAATTTTTAATCGGCACTAGGGGTTGTTTATCGGCCGTAAGGATGCCTTCCGAGGCATCAATCCATTCGGCTTTTTTTTCACCTGTTTTGGAATTTATATGTGTCGTGTGCCAAACGGCAAATTGGTACAAATTATGTTTGGCGCCATTTGAATTCTTCGAGTGATTTTAAAAGTAGTTTATTTGCCGTAAAGATCCGGGAGCGCGATTCCAAATGAAAATTATGACAATATTGCGTAAATTGACCAACATTCTGAAAATGCAGCAGCCGCGTTTGAAGAACGTACCAAAAACCTATACCGTATTATTCAATTTATATTTACATTGGTTAGTGAATTAAAAATGGGAGCGCGCTTCCTAAGTCAAAATTATGACAATTTTGTAAAAATTGACCATCATCTGTCCTCGGAAATGCAGCGGCCTCGTTTGAATGATGCTCCAAAAATTTTTACGTTTTATATATTTATCAATTAGTGATTTAAAAATTGGTGCGCGTTTTCTGAGTGAAAATTATGACAATTTTGTGAATATTGATCAACACCCGGTTCTGGAAATGTTGCGGCCGCGTTTGAAAAAAAAATGCTCTGAAAGAAATCTATAAACATTTTATTGAATTGTAATTAAGAGCACCGCGCTTTTGCGTTGAAATTTAAGACGATTTTGTTACGATTGATGAACGTTTAGCCCCGGAAATTATTGTGCTGTTTAAGTAAGCGCGCTAGTTTAACAATTTTATTAATCTGCACCGTCGAGAGACTGTTATGTACCGTCAACCTTGGGTTGATTTTCGTGCCGGCCAAAGGGCCCGGAGGTCCCGAAGATAATTGCAGAGTGTCGATATTATCGATTTTTGATATAAATTTGTTATTTATTTTATTAATAATACGTAAAATCATGATTTTTATTGTATAAACTCTCTATAAATAAGTGTAAATATTTATAATGCTATGATATATCATATATATTGTTGCAAAATTAAATTTTTCTTTTTTACCATCTCCCTGGATAATCATGCACGATGCAGATATCTAAAAAAGTTTTAAGTCAAACTTTAACTGTTAGTATAATATAATATAGCGATACAATGTATATGTCTAGAAAACATTTGTCTATAATAATCAATTATTTAATTAATATTATATTATGACTAGTAATTGTTTAAATTTTAGCAATTACTTGCAGACAGCCACGCTAACTCCCGTAAGGGTGTCGGTCTTTAATAATATCTCGTCGCTATAATTAATGATGATCCCCGGACCGTGGTTGTTTAAATAAACGCGAAAAGTTTATCAATTTTATTAATTATTGAAGAACCCTAGCTGACCGTTCAACGTTATGTCGAGAAGTTGAGGTTGCTATGTAGTACCCACTTCAAAAATGGATGTAAATAATGGATGGCACTAATGTATAGTGGTTCTGATAGTCTCATGCCAGAGGCGATCGAGACATGTATGTATATGTATGTACATATAATAAATGTCTTTAAGAAGGCTAAGAGATTCTTTAATAAATATACCGTATTAATATTGAATATTAGTTTGCTACGTATATTTGCCCAGGTGGCGTTCAAAACACTGTTCCCAGGTGAACTCGAAGAGATTCTAATCTATTTGCTTGGATAATCTGTGTTTGTTGTTGGAGTTGAAATAAATCGATATATTTTTATTGCTACAATATTTATATCGACGTTTATTCTTTGACTATATATTGATTATATAGTCAAAGCGTTTATTAATGTATAAAATTACGATATAAATTACGATTAATAAATCTATAACGTTATAATTTTATAAACCAACTTTTTTTTATACAACTGCTGAATTTTTTCTTTTCATAAATAGCCATTACCAGCCTAACGTATAAATATGGATAGTTCGGTGGTCTACGGTTTGAACGATGTGGTCCAACTCGATAAGGGCCAGTTTGATAGTGAGAATCCGTTAGATTCGCGAGAAGAAGTCGACGACACCTCGCATGGTGATGAGGAACAACGTGAAAAATTGATACGACTGCCCCTGGGAAGAATAAAAACCATCATTAAAATGGATCCCGAAGTTAGTTTGGTTAATCAGGAGGCTGCGTTTCTGGTAGCGAAATCAGTGGTAAATATTTTGGAATGATTAAATTTGATGCGCGTTCATAAGCGTATTATAATAATTATCTGTCTTTTAACAGGAGTTTTTTATTGAGTCGCTTACAAAGGAAGCTTATAAATATACTGCACAAGCGAGGAAAAGGACTATTTTAAAGCGTGATGTAGAAAGTGCCATTGATAATGTGGATGCGCTTGTATTTTTGGAAGGTATGCTCGATTGATCGCAACATAATTATTATCTATTATATATATATATATATATATATATATATATATGTGTGTATGTATATATAATAGAATAAGTGTTAGTACAATAATGGAGACAATAGTGATATTTTTACATTTGCAAGGATTGTGTGTGAATATGGTTCGTCATTGCAAAAAATTTTTTTTATATTGTACATGTATGAAAATATTTAAGTGCTCTTTAATGTATCTAAATATATCTAATAAGTGACCTAAATATAATAAATAAATAATATTGTGAACATTTTTTTCATCTGCCAAAATTGGTTGATCTCCGCTGAATTTCTTTTGTATTGTCAACTTAATTAAAATTTTATAAGTGCAAAATGAAATAGATCTTATATTTTAATTAAAAACATACAGTTTTTGTGTATGTAAAAAAAGTTGTACTACAGTTTAAAATTCGTTTATTTTTCATTCGTACACAACAGAATTATTTCATTAATGTTAAGTGTTTACTTGACGCCTTTTGAAAGAAAAATTACTCGTATGTTAAAACGTTAAAAGTATTTGCAGTCGAATAATTACAATTTGTATTGTGGACATTTTTCGTTCTTAATTTTTTTCTATCGAATCAATCTTTATAAATATATTTTCACCTCTGTATTGCTATTCCACCATTTTACATTTTGCTATTTTCGCTGTACATATGCGGAATGAAAATGATCACGAGACGAAAATGGACTCTTACTGCGTTTGCGCGTATATCTCATTAATAAAGGGGAACTTGAAATAAATATAGAATAAGAATTTTGTTGAATTTCCACAAATTAAGATGCGAATATTCGACTATATATTAATGTATGCATACACTATATGATCGTTTATGAAATGTGAACAATGTTCATTGCTTTTTTAAATGTTGCTATCTTTACTGTTCTATTTACTTGTCAGAATAAAATCTTTGTAATCCACACTGTTCCTAATGTTCTTAACAAGTTCTATATTTTTCTAAACGCCGTAGCTAACAGTGCAGCTTCTATAATGTAACATTACATATATGTACATACATATGTAATGTTCCCAATCTTTCTTCCTAAATTTTGCGTATATATGTAATATATATACGTGTACGTATCGCGCGCGCGCGCGTGTGTGTGTGTGTGTCATACACATGCATACAAATATATTAAGAAAATGAGAATTAAGATGCTAGGATCATTTAAAAGAAAATAATCAAACTATTTCGTTACATGTTTAAATGTACAGCAGAGTATATCGTTAGAAGTATTTCTAACTAATGTTGTATATATTTAACTTATATAAGTAACAAAAATAAGAGGAAAAAAAATCAGTCTTCTTCACATTTGCCAATTCAGAATTTAAATTAAGTGTGATATATATGTATATTTTTTTATTAAAAATCACGACTTACTGATGTACTTCGGTAATAAGGTTAATATTATAAAAGATAAAAAACGAAATAAAGTAAAACTTGTCGATTTTATAATGTGTAATCTGATATCGTTACTCTTTTTCATTTTGGAAGAACACAAGGTTACACCATACAAATTGTCTAAATGCGTATATAAAAATTTTTATGCTCAAATCTAACTTTGCGACGCATACAATACTTTGTTTCTACGATCATTATTTGGCATCTCTGTGTATCATCTTTGAGACAGAATCGACATTTTTTATGATTTTAAATCTGCAAAATACCGTTCTATTGCGTTGCTAAATATTTTCGTTGAATGTTTCTGTAGTCAAATTGTCACTTATTGCGATACTCTCCTATCATTCTCGAGCTTTCTTCTTTTTAACGTGCCAGTCTACTCGATACAACACATTAGTACATGTACGTTCATCGTGAACACAGTTTCTCATAATCTCATATTGTATATCAGTCAGATATTAGCGTTTTGTGAATATTCATAATATCTATATGCTAATATAAGATTAAATGATTAAGAATAATGTAAATTTAAGATTGCGTATATGCGTTCTAATGTAATGCGCACTTAATAATTATATAACGACGATGTCAAACATTCAGCAAGTATTCACCTACTGCTGTTTATCTACTTCTTACGCTTAGTTTTGCGTCGTCTGCTATCACCTCTGAAAGAATTTTGATCCCCCGATGTATTAACGCCAGCAGACTTACTATGGTTATACAGATTGTTAAGGAAATCCTCGAAATCCGCCTCACTGTTTAAAACGTACAAAAAATATATTAAATTCATTTTGCACGTGCTCGAAAAGGAATCTCTCTGAGGAGAACTTAAATACTTTTACTTAAAAAGTTGAAAAAAATAACCATCACTGTTACGATGAAAGGAATGTGTAATACCTTGTATTAGGATCTATCTGTTGTCGCTTTTTGCCGCTGTTGGACGTTTGAGACGGTAGTCTTTGCCCTAAGACGATTCTATATTGAACACTATGCGTATTCGCTCTAAGATGTTTGAGATTCCCAGCTTGGCAAGCTGCCCAGTCAGTCACATCGTACACTGCACCTTCCATGCACGCGTAATAGTGCCACAGAAAACCCATTAAACGAGATTCTGCCCAAATATCACCCTATATGTAAACCAGACAGAATGTAAATAATTAATTTCACAGGAAATAGATATCTAATAAATGTGTATACTCACTTCTTTCGCACTGTGACGTATCTTGCATTGATTGCAAAATCGCGCGGCGTAACAAGGACGTTGCGTAGGGATGCGTTTGTGTCTCAAACCGCAATTTGTACATCTTATCGTATTTGCTGCCTGTTCCATTTTTCGATGAAGTTGAGACAAGAGGTCACTTAGCTCACCCCAAGCTGCTTCGACTTGTCTAGTCTGATCGAATGCTTGCCTACGTTCCTAAAATAAATAAATATGCCACATTTTATATGTATGCGTGCGTATACATGTTTTATATATATATATATATTGTAATTTTGTCAGGTTGATGTTACTAAATTATCACTCATTATCGTTATTATTCTATAACGAAAGAAAATTATGAAAGAAATGGATGTTTTATTACCGGTTCCCCAATGATATCGAAGGCATGTACCAATATTTTGAATGCTTCTTCTGCCCCTGGCTGATTATTTTTATCCGGATGCACTAGAAAGGCTTGCCTCTTGTAATATTTTTTGATATCGTCGTCCGAGCACGTTGGCGTAACACCAAGTATGCTGTAAGGATCCTTTCCCTTGCACGCTAATAATCTTTTCATAGCTTCTTCACCGGTGCTGGGTAACGCGATATTAGTTTCTAGCCCACCGTGAATCCAATTGCCACCATCTTCTTTCTCGTCGCTCTTGGTGTTGTTTATCTTTCGCCAGAACGCAAATTTACTACTACCGAGCCAATTGTCTAATTGTTTACCAATAGCGTTTAAAATACGAATTTTACAAAACGTCACAGCCATGTACATCCACCAGCACTTCAAATAAAGTATAGTGTGATACCAAGCACATTTACCACTGAAAAATATTAAAAAGAGAAAAAATGAATGAACCTTGTTCTCTAAAAGTAAAAGTAATAATCTTGTATCTCGATAGTGAGATAGAGAGAATATACAAGTGTAGATTGCGTGTCGATACTCACAGCTGAATAACCAGGTTGGCGCTCATGCTAACTACATCTGAGATTAAATGCAACAGCCAATAAAAGATTTTCAAGAGAATTTTGCTCCACCGAGTCGCATACTTGTTCAAATTTTTATACAAATCTTTAATCGAAGATTCTCTACTTTCTCTCTTTCTGTTTCTTTGTCCCTTCTTAATTTGCTGCTGGGCCTGCTGCTTCTCCGCCTGAAAACGTTTAGGATTCTTTTCCTTCGCCGCTTTTTTCTCCTCTTTAGCGACTTTATTAATAATCTGTTGATTCTTTTCCATTTTTTCAGATGAGACTGTCTGACTGGATGTATTGATTGTATTCAAATTGTTATTTATCTGTATCGGACGTTTCGGAATATTTCCTGCAGTTTTGGGATTACTGTTTTGTATCTTGGTATTGTTAAGGGTTTCGTTCTTTTCTGCTTTCTTAGATGATTTCTTATCAGATTTCTTCCTTTCCGAACAAAATTGATCGGATCTATCGAATGCGTTTATCTGATGGGAATCTGATTGTGAACCAAGGTTGTCGAGAGACACCCAACGTCTTGGAAGATTGGAAGTATTTTTTTCGAAAACTTTTTTGGGAATTTGCATTTTCGGAGAATTATGATCGTCGCTACCGGACGAATTCTGTCTCTTCAGTAGTGCAGGCTTGTTTTTAGTTTTCATGTTCTTGGAGATTTTCTTGCCTGTTACCTCCATTTTTGGTTTCATGGGCTGAACTGTTAATGGAGATGGCGGAGTTGGTGCAGATTTTGTTAAAACATCAGAGTACGAAGGTCGCATAGGTTTCACTTCAGCTACCATCCTTGGTTTCTTATATTGAGAGTCTGATATATTTCTAGGAGGTAAATCCTCGCTCTCTCTTACGTCTCGTACAGCTTGCGGTACAGGTGTGATATTGGGAGATCCGCCAAATGGACTGTAAGTACCAGACTGGTTCGGTACCCAATTTTCAACGAGATTGTCTATCAGCTGTTTGCCATTAAAGTTTTGACTGGGCAACTCGGATGGTACAGTCATATGTTGATCGTTGAAAAGTCCATACTCCTGATTAACGATACTTTGATTAGAGTACGGTGCCATATTTGAAAGACGACACTGTTCGGCCATAATTTGAGAAGCATTTCGATAAATGACGTTAATATAGTTACCACCTCCGACATCGATGGTACCAATTAAATCATTATTCTCGTTAATGCCTAGGTGATTTACTGTGTGCTGTGGCGGAAAATATATTGAATCAGGGGCCGCAGCATCGTAATTCGACATATCTTGCATATATAGAGACGTGGTCATTGGTGTCATAGGTTGTATTCCAGAAGGATTAGAGTGTGTGGGTTGACCGACGACGTGATGTCTGGTTTGTCCAGGCACATAATCTCCCCAATTGCGAGAGGTGGTTTGTTGCGAAGGAACACTGAACTGAGCGTAATGACCGTTTGAACCTTCCAAATCTGGAGTCATAGCTTCGATAATCTTATCCAAAGACATGTGCTTGAAACCAGGAGGGGTCTGCTGTTGTTCTGCCATATTGATTTACTTCTCTAGAGATAAAACAAAATGAGTGTATTATTCGGATATTGCAATGTCATTTTATGAACAAATGTTGAACCTGTGTGTAATAAAGTGTGAAAGAATAGAACGATGCAATTTATAAAATTTTTCATCTTTTCACAAGTATAATTAATACTTATGTATTAATGATAATAATAAAACCTGACATTTTATATATATATGTACATAGGAATACAGATTACATACATGTCCCAAATTTTATGATTTATTATGACTAATAATTTGCCTGCATCTTATTTATTTACAAAGATCACGTTTCATCTTTTCCAAATATATGCTCTAATGATATAATGTTGAGTGGAATGTTGCAAGATCTGCAATAAATACGTTTTCTAAAAATGTCCACTATATATTACTCACATAACCATAGTAATGCGTCGAGAACTTTAAGTAATATCCGCTAATGTGCAAGTTAGAGATATTCGAATACAGTTGTTTTGCATTTCTGAGATAAATTCGTGTTAAATAATCATTGTCGAGAGAGCAATTTCAATTAAATAAATGTTATAACCTAAAAATGAATCGAATGTTAGCAGACGTCGGTTCGGTCGATACATTATTCACATTCTGCACCAATAAGTATACTTTTTCACAGAATTTGCTTACGTTTAATCGTTCAGCACACTTAACATTATTAGTAAAAAAAAATAAATAACTGTATTTATGTAAAATATGTGATTTTACGTTACCTTACCATGCGGTAAATGTGGTGAAATCAGGCATCGTAATATCGTATCCGCGATCGTATTCTGATCGTATTCGTGTGAATCGTGTTTGGTTTGGAATTGGATGGATGGAGAATTCTAACCCAGCGATGCTAGACGAAGGGATTTTTTCTCATCACCCAACTCGCGCGCGCGCGTTAAAGCGCGACCTTTTCCTTTTCCACTTGGGTAATGGGTAGAGTCAGAGAGAAGCGTGGAAAGCGGCCACGCCGGCTTTTTGGGTGGGACCGGCGATCTCCCCCGTACACTAGCGCCCCACGTCCACGTTTTCAAAAAAAGAACTACGTACACCGCTGTGTTATTACATTGTCGATCAAATCATAGCATGAAAACGTGGACGTGGTTCATATCCGTGCTAATCGTATGTATATTATACTATTATATGTATATCCCGCATTCTTCACCTAAAATTTGTAGATGTAGTACAGATATAAATTGGAATGCCATTTCATCATCAATGTCGCAAAATAAACGTCATCTATTTATTCACAATTTGTGCACGTAGCACGATTAGCACGGACACGAACCACATCCACGTTCTCGTGCTATAATTTGATCGACAATGGTATAATATGAACGTGAGACGTAGTTCCTTTTTTGAAAACGTGGACGTGGGGGCGCTAGTGTACGAAGGGAGATCGCTGGTCCCACCCAAAAAGCTGGCGTGGCCACTCTCAGATTTCTCTCTGCTGGTAGAGTCTTAGATTATTATCAGAAGAAGCGCGATCGGCTTATGACAGTATCGCAAAAGTACTAAAAAAAATATTAAAAATGGCATTAATTTATAAACGGATTATATCCATAATATATCCTTAAAGATAAGAAAAAAAGTTAAAAAAATACTATTTTTATGAGTTACAACATGAATAAATATCATTATTTTCAAATAAAATATTCTACTTACCATAACAATTATCGACGTAAATTTAATTATTCGTCAGCCATTTATAATACCGATGAAGCAATATTATGATTGGCCATTTGCGAGGCCAATCAGGACTCGTAACGCTTCTGATATATGTAATCTAGGACTCTAGACCAACTAATCAGAAAAATCATTTGATGTTCATTCTACTGCACATGCGTAAAAGAGATTATTTCCCTTCATTTGGTATCATAACATTGGCCACGTTCAGCAGACAGTCCTGATCAATGAGCGCTCAGTGATTCTTTGTTACGATTGGTTTATTCACTCAGATCCGAATCACTGTAAACACTCACTGATCTGCTTTGCTGCTGTAAGAGTCCTGGATTATCAGAGAAGCGAGCGCGCCAACCGGCTTATGGCAGTATCGCAAAAGTACTAGAAAATATTGAAAATGGCGTCGAATGGTCAATTATAAGATTGATTCATTCGGCAGCCTATGCATTTATAATATCGATGAATCAATTTTATGATTGGCCATTTGCAATCAGGATTTGTAAGGACCATAGACTTATAAGATAGACTGCGCGCCCTATTGTTCTCGGTGAGGCAGAAGCTAGAGTGAGAGGGCTACACTCCACACTTCTCTTGTCCTTGTTTAATCGTTGGTGGGGAGAAGAAAAGAGGGGAGACCCGCGCCGCGCCGGCCGCCGTCAGCCGTGCCGGACAAGGACAAGAGAAGTGTGGAGTGTAGC